AGCACCGATAACATGGTGAATTAAGACATCCTGAGGTTCATTCCATTTTGCCTCCAAGGCTCTGCCAATTTCACTTTTGAAGGCTGCTATCTGGGACCATGGTCACCCCTAGATTCTCAGCAGCAGCCAGCAACTGAAGATGTGGAAGGAGCCATGCATCAGGGATGGTATGTCATGAAGGAGAATTGTTGACATAGCTAATGTACGATCTCTCACGGACAAGTCCTCAGAAGTGAATGGTAAGGAACAGCTACCTACTACAGAGCACTTCAAGGGGCTCGTTCTTGCTCTGGATGACTGAGAGTCTCTGGGACCATGTTGAAGACAGTAGAAAATGTTGTAGAAAACCAATGAAGAGGTTTTCGTCATGCAGATAAGGTCTCCTTGGAAAACATTAATGTGAGCAACAAAGTCATAGTTGTATTTGGATTTGTTTCAAAATGGCACTATCTGAAGCTCCCAATTTTAATAGAGATGGATCAAGTTGATACATAGCTCTAAAAGCAATGGAATATTATCAATAAATATAGCCATACTGCGTCCTTACAAAATGAGAGCATGCAAGTGGCTTTTTGTAAATTTGTTACAGAAAGGAAAGTGATTCTCTGATGGGGAAGCCTGCTTTCCCCTGGTTGACTCACTGTGTAAGAAGGACCACAACACAATTGCTACAAATAATAAAATGCCCTGCCACGGAACTAATTCTTTAACTTCTTTTTATTTGTGGGAATATGATTTTGATAGCACTTGATTCCCAACAATAAGAGCAAAATCATTTGTTGACCGACTTCTGCAATTGGTAACTCTGTGAAACATGTTCTATACATTTTATCCTTCCGACAGCATTTTAGGAGATTTTATGATTCTGGATTCTCTGACAAAGACATGACATTCTAGGGGTCAAGATACTTCCAATGGTCACAGGGCCAGAGCAGAGTTGTGAGTCTAGTGCAGGTATTCTGAGTCCTAAACGTTGGATCTTATCCAGACATTTGTTCTCTGCTGCCCTACAATGATTCTGCCTTTGAGATGCCATTGGTCAAGTTGGAGGATACGAACTAGATGTTTCCTTGGTATAAAACACAGCGAAACTGCAAAATGAAATTGTTGGATAAGTACAGGCTTTGGAGAAATGTTACTCAAATGTAGAATAGCATGTCCCTGATGCTTCTAACTGTAGAACAACTTCATTGTCCCACCTGAGGAAGTGGGTGATCCCTCAGTGACAGGGCACAGGGACAAGGACTCTCACTACCAGTCCACCAGAAAGCTGGTCGTACTCTGTGAAGCGTTGTGTGCACCAGCACAGCTCACTGCCGGGTGGAGTATTAGACCGGCATGTTAGCCAGTCAAAACACAGCACAGAAGTGTTCAATGGCAAGGATAAGACTCATGGGACAAAGGCCAATAGCACCGGACGTCAACACAGACTCCCCACAGGAATCCCTGAAGCAAACAGCCTTGGATCCAATCAGCAACCAGAGAAATCCAAAGGACAAAATGAGGTGTTCTGTGGCCACCTGAGGTTTTTAGGGAGAGAGATGTAGCTACCTTGTTCCGTTCTGGATAATCTGGTGTACTATAGAACCTTTTCCCGATGCAGAAATCTATACGAGACTGAGCTTAAGGAAGAGCAGCATGAAGCAAGTGGTAAAGGCTGACAGAAGAAAGGATCCTGGGGATGACAAGGCTTAATGAAACACCAAGCCATGGCAAGAACAGTGGTACCTCTGGCCGAGACAATCCAGGTCAAAAGAAAAGGAACTATATTGGGGTCCTCATTCTCTCCATGATAAGAATCCTTATGGGTTTCAACACAATACTAAATGGACCATTTTTTTTAAATGTGTGACTCTTGGTCTCCTCTTTCTGGAGACTGGATATAAAGCTAGATCTAATTCATGCCACTTGCATGTGTTCAGGAGTGAATTTGCTGAAGGCTCTGAGCAAAGGTTTTTCTAGGAACTAACTCACGAAAACCTTAGGATGCATCAACTCTCAGTAACCATCCTAGGCAGCTCCCTAGGTGGTTGTACCATGCATGCTCTTTTAGTTAGTGATAAAGTGGAAACTAATATGTAAAACCCCAAGTCCAAAGGGGGAAATACAGCTGTCAATATATGAGAATACCATTAGAGATGGCCACTAGGACATACTTTTGTGATTGGGGTAGAAATCCCCACTTTCAGAAGTACGACGCTTCTTCTCTCTGGAGCTCCAGCCTGCAGCAGCCTCACCGCTTCCTTGAGTACAGCTGCAGTCTCCCACAGCCTCGTGCGGGTGATGTAGACCTTGATAATTCTTGCAATAAAAATCCAGCCATGTATGACATTTAGGAGGGAGGGAGCAAAAGGTTTAAATTGCCTTGGGGCGCTGGAACCATTATAAAGTTGGCTTTAATGAGAAGTGGAAGACAAAGAAAATTAGGGGCTCAGATTTGGAGCCAAATCAAAATGGGTACCAAATCACTAGGCATGGGGCTGCCTCTTAATGGCTCTCGATAAAAAAAGCATTGAATGTAGGTTTTCTCCAGGAATCAAAATTTACTTATCAAATTCAAGTAGAAATAATAATAAAAAAATAAGATGCCATTTTAATGCCTTCTTGGATGCTGACAGGGTGGACTTAGGGTACCCTAAAAATACCAGCTCATTTGCCACCCTATGTTACAAACGTACTTACACTTTCCAGAAAATTGGAGCATCCACCAAGCAGCCCAGAGAAGCAAATCTGCTCGCCACACACGCCACAAGATCTTCGCCAAAGGAATACAGTTCACTCACATTTCTATTCCAATCTTTCACTCTCTCTTTCATGGCCTGTGTTCTCTTTCCTACGATTGGGGTGGAGTCTTTACCCACCAGCCCCTCTCTGTGCCATTGAGATGCAGCCACTTTTATTTCGAAGCCCCTTTACTTGAGTGTGAGCCAAACGGCTGCCCCTCACTCCCTCTGAAAGCCGGGCCTCCTCGAAAGCCGTCATTACCAGAGGACACACAGTAGCTGAGTGATGGGGACACACTGGGTCATAGCACGTGTCAGTAGTCTGTGCAGTCTCACAGAAGTCTGCATGGAGAGCAGTGGGGCTTCCAGGAAAAACAAAAACAAAAACAAAAAACAAACCTGGACCCAGCAAGGAATGGAAACTGCTGTTAGGCAGGAAGGATACCTGGGAATTTCGACAGGGAGCAGCTTGGAGCATGCTCTGCCAAGCTCAGGGCCCATCGCACTAGATGGACACCTCACGTACTTGCTGTCTAAGGTGAGCTAGAAATGGGGGCCCTGCCCAGAGAAACTGCATCCCAAGGAGATTCACATCCACACCATATGGAAAGGATGCTAGCCCAGAACCTAGGAAGTGGCACCAGGGGACCTGAAAACCATTCCCTGATGCCTGGGTTCCACCCCTGACAGACTGCAAATCCACTAGTCTGGGGCGTGGCTTACTCAGTGGGCTTTAAAACAAACCTCTCCTGCAGAGCGGAGGTGCAGTCAGGGTTAAGAGTCCCTGACAGGCTTCCAGAAAAAAAGAAGGAAAAAAAAAAAAGCCAATTCTCCCACCTTGCTGTGTTATAGAAGTCAGACTGATTCCTGGAGTCCTCATCTCTCCTTACTTAAGGCCTGACAGCAAGAACTAGGCTGTAAGTATGAGAGGCAAGCTCTACAGAAGGACTTGAACTTGCCTCAGCTCTCTCTTCTGTCCCTTCATACAGCTGCCCCTGACATCGCACTCACCTACATCTCTCGGCAAAACACAAGGGCTACTAGCAAGTGTTGCTTTCAAAGCACCAACTTGGAACTCCCACCTCAGGGTCTGGGGCAGCTTCTAGCTAAGGCAGGTGAGTCTGCCTTCCCAGGTGTGTGCCATCAGGGCAGCCAGGGTTGGGAGCCACTGAGCTCCACAGTGGGTCTCGCCTTTCATCCTGCCAAGTCATTAAGGATTTGTAAGGATGAATGAGCCTTCGTGAGAGAGCAAGGGCCTGCTGCAATGCTCCTTTATTAATTATGGGGAAGTGATGTATTGGCAACGGTAAGGCTTCTCTTGGAAAGGACAATGAATGATTCGTCGATTGCTGCATTAGGTCTTTCCTGACTCAGTCTTAATGCTCAGTTTTTTTTTTTTTTTTACTCCTGTCTGTAGTTTAAAAAGCAGCCCAGCGTTCACACCAAAGGGCCTCTTGGTCTTTATTCCCATGCAAGCTGCAAGGTGTGAGCGAGATAGCAACACCTGGTGTCTTTCAGGGATCTCCGCTGGGAAACCCCTGCCGTCCGTGTTTGATCCGCAGCCTCTAGTAGCTAGCACATATTCCTTCCTATCTGAATATGAAGGCGAAACACAGAGTAAAGATTAAAAAAAAAAAAAAATAGGTGATGCGTCGCCAGATTCCTTTTGCTAAAAGAAAGCTTCCATTAGCAGAGGACTAGAATGTGGAGGAAGTAAGATGTATCTAGAGTAGCAAATTCAGGGGTAAGGAAGGAGTAGGCGAGTTGGGGTGTGGGGGGGTGTGGGGGCTCGGGTTGTCTCTGGATCAGTCTAGCGAGGTTCCAAAGAAAAGTTGCAGCAGCACGGGTGTGCGCGTGTCTGGGTGCGGAAGAGAGCGCTGGCTTGCGAGGCGGGTACGCACTGCGGGGGCTCCGAGGCCGGGGAATCCAGCCACTGGTGGAGCACAGAAAGGCGACCCGGTGGCTGCCAGGGCTGCCCGCCCGGCTTGGTGCTCCTGCCAGGCACCCGCGGGTGGCGCGCGGGGTCCGGTGAGGCAGGAGGCGGCTGGCCCGGCGGAGCGTGCGAGCCAGTGCGAGGCTGC